GGTAACGAAAGAGTATTTGAGAAGACAGAGGTAATGAGGAAGAGGAGGTAAGAAAGATTGGAAGGGAGGAGAGAAGAGGGGGAGGGGGAGTTAAGGACAGAAGGGTATTAGTAGGAAGGTATAAAAGTAAAAATCAAAAATATAAAAGGTAAAAAATTAAGAGCTTTGGGATTTAAAAAATGCTCAAGATTTGGAAAAATTAAAAGGGTAATAGCAAACCTCAATGGTGGAGGTTTTGCCACAGATATTATCGTCCCCAATTTGCTTGTTACGCTTGTCGGAGGCCATATCTGGAATCTGAAAGCAAATATGCGAGGTACGTGAATGTATATACATAAGCAAATAACATGACGCCGTAGGTTAAACAGCAATGAAGAGTATTAGGTTACGCGAATAAGCTACGTAGCAGACGGTGACAATACGGGGCGGCAGCGGGAAAACATTTGGAAAGTTGTAATCGATTTCTGTTTATGAAAGTACGGATTAATCGTTGAAGACGATCAGGAGGGAAACCTTTGGCGGTGTAATCAATGAAAAGACGCTGTGCCGAACGTGTGAATCCCTGAGAGGACTCAATACGTAAATAGCGAATCAGCTGGCTATGTATAACTCCGTCGTGAATCGATGGGTGTACGTTGCTGCGGAGGGAGCAGAACCTATTGATAGGGAAAGTGAAGTAGTGACTTTTGCAGTAAAGAGTAGATATTATCTAACCTTCTTCGTGTATGGAAAGGGTCATGTCTAAGTAGTAAACGGAATTACCGGACCAGTGATTTCGATGTCCAGGTGTTGGCCGTATTCTGTGATAGAGGGAGATGAGGGTCCGTACATTAAGCACGAGTACATCGTCGACGTATCGACATAGCAGGACAGGAGGGTTGCTGGGAATCCGGCTGAACTTGAACTCAAGCACTGAGAGGGTGAGATCGGCGATGTCGGAGCTAGCGTTACCGCCCATGGGGATACCATTGGCTTGCCGAAAGATGTAGCCGCTAAAACGCACATAGGCTTCGTCGACGACCGTGCGCAGCATACTGCCGATTTCCGAAGAAAAGTAGGTTGTACCGTGACCAAATCCTGTTGCACGGTTGACATAATGAACAGTCTTGGTGGTGACATGTAAACTGTCGGCGTGGGCGTTGTGAAAGCATAAGGAAAAAAGATAACTTAGTACGTCGTAAATGACATGATGAGGGAGTTTTGTGAACAAAGTTGAAAAATCTGCCGTGTGAAAGCTGTGGATCAGTCTACAACTAGTAACAAATGTAATCACTTCGCCAGAGTTTCTGACACTGCAGTAGAGGCGCTTGCGTAACCTACGTTGTAGTACTAAGGCGTAGTTGCAGAGATGACGGCGAAAGAACTGCAGTACCCGATGAAGAAGAATACTTAAGGGCTTGATGCAAGAGCGTACCGCAGAGGCGATAAAACGGAAACTGTAGGGGTTTTTATGGAACTTAGGAACAGCATAGATTAGGGGTAGGACCTTGTTTTCATTATCTAGTTGAAGTTGGAACCTCAGGAGGAGGAGATCGCAGCGAGCTAGAATGTGAGCAGCAGTCTCGTTAACCGGGTGATAGGTGTCATCACCAATTACGTCACCATTGTCCAATATGCCTAGTTCCTGTCTCAGCACCGTTATGTAAAACGATTTGCAAATGAAAGCAAAATTGTTTTGCGCTTTGTCGACAGGTGTAATGACTAGCGAACGTTGTTGAGTCTGAGCCCGGGCCAGAAGCGTAGAAGTGTTTACAGTGCTTGGAGGACGACCATTAATGTAGAAGCTCTCAAAAAGACGGCGAGCATAAAACAGGAAATCGTTACGGTAAGCCGTAGCGCTCGACTATACGATATCTGCGAACTAGTAACCGAATGTAGGGTGTGATGGCCGTGGCAAAGTGATCGAGGACTTCAGTGGGGTGCAGATTTCGAGGTATACGGAAACTGCACCCTAACTTGAAGTAGTTTTCTAGAAAATCGTCCCTTAACACGCGTGTGTCGCCAGTAATTATGTGACCAAAGGGAGGATATACAAATGAACTGGAACAAGCGCATGGGATGGGAGCTGAAGATTGTGTTGCGAAGAGGGTTCTGTCAATGTTATTTAGTATGGCGATATGACTACATAAAATTCGTCCTAATGGGTGATCATGCTTAAAGGCTGTGGTGAATCGAGGCACCGAGACGCCGCCACATAAACGTCGAAGGGTACGATTGTGAACCAAACGACTGTAACTAACCCGGTCGTAAGCTGGTCCAGGATAGGACATGACGTCTCGAAACACGTAATTGCGGACCGCTACTTGCTCTGAAAAGGGGTACCT